TATTTTGAAGAAACAAGTTGTCCACAAGTCAATCACTCTATCGAGCTAGAAATACATGTAATATAAGAAAGCAAGGGTCATTGTTGTCTAGTATCGGTGAATAATAGTCATTCTGCATTTTCACCAAGTTCTTGGGTTAGATCCTGATGTCGTAAGATGCAATATTATTTTCCTTTATTCACAGATGCTTTTATCATCAACGCCCTTAAATTCTGAAAACATCCAAATTATAGCCTTGCTTAATGATTCATACAGAGCCAACATTATATATGTGTGTTTATATTTAAACATAAGTACATAAACTAAAAATTAAACAAACAAAAAAAAAAAAAAAAAAAAAAGGAGGCAAACCCACCTCCAAAATCACAGAAGCAAAGAGTCGAAACATCAAGTTGGTCAGCCTAAGAAACTCTTAAATTCTTTTCAAAATAATAACGAAATCAGCCCAAAAAATGTTTAAAGCCCTTCAAATAAAGCAATCCCCGAAAAACCACTAGAAAGTTTTCCGAAAGAATGACTAAACTAGTCCCAAATATAGCATTTTAAATCGCTTTTATAACAATGAGAAAATCAGGCTAAAACGGCCTCCAAATGTTCTTCCAAATAGCAACAATACAAGGCAAATGGAGTAAAATCAAACTCTCTCAAAATCATGAGTTGTGAGGGGATACTTATATATGAGATTTAATTCTTATACGTTTACATATCTAATACCTTCATTTTATAATTCGTTATACAAAGTTGCACACATTCTACAAAACTGCCTATATTTAAGCCTGCATTTGTTTTTGATAACCAACTGCTTCAAATGAAAATATTGGGCCTTAGGAGTTAAATGTGTAAATGCGTAAGAATTGTACATGTAGTTTAGATGTTATATATGTAAACATATCAGGATTGGGTGATATCAATGCAAGTACTCAAGCCTCCCTCAAATATCTCATGGAGCCGAATAATGGCCCACAAACCCTTCTTTAAATTAGTAAGATTGTAGAGCAGAGAATGACTCTTAAAACCTCTTAAATCGGCACAAATACAGGGCAATAAATATCCCTAAAACTGCAGGCAAACAAGTCCCCTAAACAGCCCAAAAAATTGTAGCCAAACAGGTCCCAAAAACAAGCCAAAAAAACTGCAGCCAAACAGGTCCCCAAAACAGCCCAAAACTGTAGCCAAACAGGTCCCCGAATCAGCCCAAAAACTGCAGCCAAACAGGTCCCCAAATCAGCCCAATAACTGCAGCCAAATAGGTCCCCAAAACAGCCCAAAACTGTAACCAAACAGGTCCCCGAATCAGCCCAAAAACTGCAGCCAAACAGGTCCCCGAATCAGCCCAATAACTGCAGCCAAATAGGTCCCCAAAACAGCCCGAAAAAAGTCACAAAAATAGTCCCAAAAGTTTCCAAAAACTGACCCCAGAAAACAACATTTGTAGGCCCCAACAATCAACATTTTAGGCTCTATAAAATCAACTAGCAACAATAGGTAAAAGTCCCAAAAAACAATCACCAGGACAACATTCAAATCTCCCAATTATATAAGCGTATTAGCCCAAAAAACCGGGCACAACCCCTAGATTTTCTCAAATCGGCATGAATACAGGGACAAAAAACATACATTTGAAATTTCGGCTGCATCTATGTAAATGTCGAAGTTTGGGTGTTGGATGTGTAAATATATAAGAATTTAGTTGCATGTGTGTAAATCATCCACTAAAATTAAAAGACATCTCAATATAGCTCTTTTAACCATTTTTTTAATTTGGGATTCATCTTAACACTATAAGAATTTTTCTGAAATAATATGACTACCATTTGCATTCAAATCGAGATGTCAGATCAGGAGTTAAATTGAAACTGATAGTCTATTATCGTTAAGGAGTATGACAAGATTATGACAACATCAAATCAACACAGTTTGCCATAGAAGCAATTAATACGTGCTATTTTCATGAAAACATAGCCAAACAAAAGCCTGCATTTTGTTACAATCCTTAACATTATCTTTCAAAAAGTTAACAAACAAAAGCCTGCATTTTGTTACAAGCCTGCATAGCCAAACAAAAGCCTGCACAAACAAAAGCCAAAGTCATTCAAAAACCAAAATCGTACAAAAAAAAAAAAACAAATGATCTGCATTACAAAACTTCCGTAAAATTATTTTCTGGCCATCTGTTAGTCAGGTAAAGATTTAACTTTTAAAATAAGAGAAATTCACATACCTAACACACATTCTTTTGTATTTACAAATTTCAAACCTAAATTTTAAAATTTTAGCGTAATTGATCATCTTGACAATTTATTTTGGTTTTAATTAACGGTGAATGTACGTAAGTATTAGTGATTTGGATCGCGATGTTTATGTGCATCGAATATGTGAATTGTGGTGTTTATGTGTATCAAATGTGAATATACTCATGGTTAGGCCATAAAGGGTTTTCTAAGGCCTTTTGATCATATGGGAGCTCTTTTTGGGCCTCCACACGTTGGTCTTAGCCACGCAATTCAATAGTGATAGCTTGTGCTCTTGGCCACTCAACCAAATGGTGATGACTTGTAGCCCTAACCACTCAATCAAATGGGGATGGCTTGAGACCATTTATGTGAGGCCTCCCAAAAGAACTAAGAGGTGGTTCGAAGTTCTAAATGGGGTGGGTCCCATCACTGGCCTTCTAGGATAGTAAATAGGAACATCCTGATGCTAGATCCCAGGCTCTAGGAGAAATGGTCAGACCTCATCAAAAATGAGGTCAACAATGCACTACTTCTTTTTTATGAAACATTTAACCTCTATCTACGGATGAATAAATGCAATCTTTCTAAATCCATATGTCATGAAATAAATTGATGTATGCACATATGGTAGGATCTACATGACATCTAATAATTCATATATGCATATCTACTATAATTTAAATGTTATTCAATAATCTAATAATTTTATAGAAAATTCATTATGCAACTATTTAACATGTGCGTTTTACTATATAAAAATATGAAGAATCTGTTATAATCTAAATCTCACTGGAACAAAATATAAATGAAATCAAACATACATTTAGAAATAATAAAACTTTTTGAAATTTAGAAATACAATTATTCACCTCCAGTCTTTTAGCTTCGGTGCAACTTTTCATAATCTCTAATTCCAAATCTTTTAGGATCAAATATTCTTTGATCTTCATTACTGTTATAATTTAATATTTTTAACAAACATTAATTCTAAATTAAATAAATTAACCTTTAATTTAGTTACCTTATACCTTATCTTTCAAAGTAATTCACTCCTCAATTTCAAAACTGTATGTCCATTACTTCAAGTGCTTCCTGATTTCAAATATATATACTATTAACACTTAAAAAATAAACACACACACACACATATAAATAAAATTCATTATTTAAATTATGATATAGACCCAATCTTACCTTACCTAAAATTCCATTGATCGCCCAGGATCTTTTGAACAAGAGCTCCTCCACGCATGCATGAGGCAGCTCCCTTCTCTTCCTTATTCTCGACAGTGCCGATCGATTCAGCATACACATGCGTCCATTCCTTCCTTTTTGCTCCCCTTTCTCCTTGGGAAAAAAAAATATTACATTCAGAGTCTGGACGCAAAGCTGAATCCAGACTCCAATGAAATCCCGCCACTTGCAAATCCGAGTTCCACCTGTAATTTTTTTTCCTTGGCTAGGGCACGAGATTCCCTTGCACACAGAGCCCTATGATATGTTTTCCCTTTCTACAAGAGAAACTGCTCCTTCGTCCAGCTAGGGTTGGTCTTCTCCCACTTTGAAACCGTCTAAGCTGTTTCAACACCTTTGCTTGGTCGACGTCTCCTCACTTGGCTTCGTTCCTCACAGGCAAATCTTCCTCTCCTTTTCTTTCTGCGGGAACTTATCTTTCCTTTTCCTCTTCTCTTTCTTCTTCTTCCACGGTCTCTCATGCTTTCTCTTTCTCTCGCTCTCCCTTTGGCTTTCTCTTACGCTCGCGTTCGAAGGGATGAGGAAAATGAGAGCCTTCTATTTGACTCCCCGCACGCAGTGAGTTTGTTTTCGAACGACACTTAATCTTTTTTTTTTAAAATTAAAATTGGTCATTACTAGGGGTGTAAACGAACCGAACACGACGAGCGAGCCCAGACTCAGCTCGTGTTCGATCGGCTCGTTTATATTTCAAGCTCAAAAAGTGTGTTCGTGTTCGGCTCGTTTGTTTAGCGAGCCGAACACAAGTCGTTCACGAATAATCACGAATAATGAGTCGTTTTGACAACCCTAATCAGGTAGCTATAAGATGTTAAGGATTGTGACAAGATTTAAAAACTATTGTTTATATTAAAATATCATTTGAATCTAATTTAATAATTTTTATTCTATTTTCTCACTTAATACTTTTAATTGATTATAAATCTTTGTTGCCTTGTAGTCAATTAAGTTTTTTAAAAATACTACTCTTCATATATATATATATATATATATATATATATAGTTGATTAGTTGTATTTCGAGCCAAAACAAGCCGAACACGAACGAACAAATCTTTGTTCGTGTTCGGCTTGTTAACTTAGCGAACGTGCCAAACATGAGCTTCTTAGCAAGCCGGACATGAGCTATTCGCGAACAATGAGATGTTTTAACAGCACTAATCATTACAACAATCATTTGAAAATAATTTGCAGAGAGGCTATTTTTATGGTTTGAGGAGATTTTTTTTATATCCAGCGTTACCTTTGCTAGTGAACTCTAATATTACGACAGTGGCAATTTAACAACTGCTTTATGCCTGTGCTCATTTGATAATATATTTGTGATTTCTTATATTATTTTGCATTTTTTTTTCGAATTAATTTCTATATTATGAGTTATTATTCAGTAGTATAATTGTTCGCCACACTTCTTTGGGAGACTTCTCGTTGTTCCTATGGTGGTTTTTTGCTTAATATGCTGTCTTAACTTTTTTCCATTTGCTCTAACTTTGGTTTTGTGCTGAAATTTCAGAACGAAAAAGGTTGATTCTTTTACTAGTAGGCTTTTAGATATTCATTCAAAGATGCTGGAGATTAATAAGAAAGAGGTGATTTTCTCGAAGTTTAGTTTGATTTTTTTGATTAGTTTATGAAATACAAATCATAATGGATTGAATGTTGATGTTTAACATACACATTGTTTTAACTCTTTTTTTTTGTTGGTGGAATAAATTATAAGTGTGGCTATACTCTATTTAGGTTATTCGTTTGGGCTTGCATCGCTCAGACTATATGCTTGATGCTGAAACTGACCTACTCCTCCAAATAGAGCTCAACACCATATCATCTTCATTCTCAGGTCTTGGCTGTCTTGTCAGCGATCTTCACAGGTTTAATTTCTTTCAGATTATTCAGATAAATTCTTTTTGACATTTGATTCATGCATGATCTCGTTAATTTTCTCGGTTGTTTATTACTTACTATTTGCGACGTTGAGAGCTCATTCACATGCTTTTTATCAAGTTTGTACTAAATATAGATTTTAAGTTTCATTTGATTTGTTAGTTTATCATAACATTTTCTGCTATGTTGGTTCACTTACCGGTAGAGGATTGCTCAATGAGAGTAAAAGAGGAGTGAGATTGGTCAGAGGTGTTGTGCAGTGCAGGTTCCATAATTTTTTTTTGTCAATATTAAGGACAATGAGCAAGGGCTCTTTTCTGAAATTATCATATAACTGAAACTCTAGAACGAAAACTGTATAGGCAAAGATGGAATGAACTGCAGAATATTATATAGGTGAATGCAGAGATGGAAAATGTATTTAACTATTGTAGAGAAAAAAAAAGTATTTAACTTATGGAAATGGTACAAAATTAGTTGAGGATGAAAGGCAATAAAGGACGCAAGCCACCTTGGCCTAGTGGTTGATAGCTTTATTTTTCAATCAAGTGGTCCTTGGTTCAAGGGCTTACATGTGCAGTGTGCGCACATTTGGGTGTGTCTGAAATAAAGAAGGCAATAAAGGTTAAAGGGTGAATCACACGTTGTCTGTAAAATATAAGAGGCTTATAAGTCTACAATTTAGAAAGCCCTTTAGTTTGGTTCCCTGCTCCGTAAAACTCATTGTCGAAGTTCCTTCTATCACTATAATTAATAATTAATTTAGCAACATGTTAGAAATTTCTTGATCTATTCCACCTAAAAAGATACCATGTTTCAATAAATGGGATCCTGGCTGGCTTCAGGATCCTAACTTAATCTTCCAGGCTTAGGACTGGTTTGTGTATTGATATATGAAAGAGAATTGGTCTCATTTTGCACACGCTTGTAATTCAATAGAATATGCATTGTAACTTGTTTTGGAACCGGATCAATATTTTATGACTCTTTTACAGCTTGTAGTTTATTTCACAAGCTAGTGCAGTTATTACAGTGCCATTGAGCTGCATAGATATGAACCACAACACTCCACAGTTAATGAAGAAAAGAAGAGGTAAATCTGTAGACCGAATGATTTTAAATTTCTCACTATTCAGCGTTGTTATAAGTGGCAGCTTATATAGGTCACTATGCATATGAAGGCACTATTGGAATCTGAAGTGTAATTGGAATCCGAAGTGCTTTATTTAGTATTGTTGAATTTTTGGAGTATAATTCATTTTTTTCCTTAAGGATTGCTTGTCAAAAAATGAGTGCTATACTACATGATTGATCGAGTGAACACATCTATGGCCATTCAGTTTTCTTCTAGTTAAAGTCTCATATTCCGTGAAGTGATGAGTGTTGTTGGATTTGGTTTGTCTTTTGTCGACAAGAAAAATTAATTCATACTCTTATACCAGATTTAATTCATGATTTTAGTGAACTTGTGTATAGAATTTTTTTTCTTAATTGTTATAGTTCATAACACATCCTTTCAATAGAAAAGAATCAGTGGGCTGATTTTTTATTAATGTAGAAACCTTCTAAACTTTAAAATAGACACCTATTTGATGCATCCATCTTTGTGAACCACATGTCACAGACAAATTTTTCTCTAGTCACCCAGCGCTCATCTTAAGCCACTAAATCAACCTAACCCTTGCAACACTTGGACTTGAAAGCACAAAACTCTCTAGGAAACAAGTAGGGAGAAGTTATTAGAGAATGAAACTCCTCACTAAAGAATGGAAGATTATACACTTGATTGCTTAGAAACCTTGCATGGATACAAATGAAGGGGAGGAGCTTCTATTTATATTTTCTCCCAAGCCTTATGGAACTTCATTACATTAGAATATAATAACTTCTAGATAGTTCTACATTGCCCTTGTATATATACATGATTCTAGAGTTTTTCTAGGTTATCATAAAATTCTAACATTCTCCAAAATGCAGTGGATCTTCTTAGAGTCTATTGGATTGCTCTCCTTTTTTTGGTCTTCTCTAGAATCTTTTCTCGTATAGTTGGCTTGCTAATTATTTTGAAGATGACTGAGTGTGATACTCTCCCCTATTTAGCGCCTTCCTTCTAAAACTGCTAGATCTTTTCTTTGAATTGCCATAGTGTGCCTTCATGCTCCCAGCTAGCTTCGCTATCAGGCAGTCTTCTCCACTTGATATGACACCTTATAGTTTGGTACCCCTACTCGCATGATCACCCCGTCTGCTAATATTTCTTCAACTTCTTTATAGGAGTTGATTATGATTGTAGGTGCTTGTCGGTCGTTAAAAATTCTCTTAGGAAAAAAAAAGTGATATATATATATATATATTTGATTTTTGAAAATAATATTTTAATTTTTAAAAAATGAGACTAGTTGAATCTCATTCATTTAATAATTTAAAAAAAACGAGTACAACACCGCCAGTAATACGCCTATCATGAGAAATAAACACATTACTTGGTAGTGAGACTCGGTTAAATAAACTAATGAATTCATGACATCCATTTTATTGTACGAACCTTTTATTTTGACCGACAAGTTCCCCTATCTAATATTAAAAATTAGGTAGAGTTTATATTACCTGGGTTCATAAAGCTCCCTATCGAGGCAAACCTCTATAGTTAATTACCTCTCAAATAATCGAAATCATTTAAGAGAACTCTCGATGATGATCAGAGATTTATCTTCATGAATTCAAGGATTAAGTATTTTCAAAGTTAGACATAGGAAAGTCAAGTGAGAAAAAGACCAAATGAGAACATTTATTTCTGGAGCCAAAGGAAAGAAAAGTAGGGGTTGTTACGGACCATGAGGAGAACATCATTGACTTCCTAAATTATCTTAGTGTTTGACTTCAATTTTGAGAAGATGTTATTTGATGTTTCATCCTGACAGTTTTGTTATTTAGGACTTAAATCTTCATAATATCCAATTATACAGATAGCCTGGAAGATATGAGGGTTATGTCATATCGGATGACGATCTCGGAGTCTAAAGTGAGTTAGGGCTTAGATTGCACAACATAACTGTGCAAAAGACTAAAAGATAGGGTGATGATTTATGTCACGCTAGGCAGACCCCCTCGAAGTCCCATGATTTGTTATTTAAACTAAAGAAATATTTAGCTGATGTAGACTTGTTTTACTGTTGTAGATCGTCATCCCCCGTCTGCTACGGCTTCGTCGTGCTACCCACAAAGACTTGTTCTATGCTCAATGTCGTAGTAGTTATGGGCATAAGGTTTAAGTGTTTTATAGTGATCCACTATAGGTAAATCGACTATTATTTTATATGTTGAAGGTATTGCAATTAATTTAAAGCATGCGTAAACTAGATATGCTATAAGAAAGTGCAGTAAAGGCGGTAAAATGCAGTTAGTATAAAATAAACCTGTGTACCTGGCGTATCTGCTACTCCTGTAAATGGGGTTGGTGCCGCAGGTAAAATGAAACATGTATCGTAGAAAATTTAGTTAGCATGTCAAACATGTATATGTATGTGTGTAAGAGTTTAGTGGTAAGCAAAAAAATAAGTGGCAAGTAAAAGAACAGGTGAACTATAAAAGACCGAAGTGAACTATAAGAATTCAGGTTCGGGGCGTCTCAAATTTTATCATTCCCGAAGGACTCCGTAGGCAACCATCGGTCATTCACGTGTATAAACCTCGACATTCAACTAAAAATTTACAACAAGACAATCTTAGGAGGACAATTCTTAACTTAATACAGGTAACTAACAAATGGAGATTTAAATTGTATCATTCAAAGTTTATGGTTTGTCATACATTTAAAAGTAGAATTTTATTTAACAGTCAAAAGTAATAGTTTTGTAAGAAATGTATTTTTGTTTTATTTTATTTTTATATGCTTTGAAAATATCGTCCACAGGTCAATCACACTGTCGGGCTAGAATTACCAACAACCTAAGAAAACAAGAGTTTTCGTTAGGCTAGTGTCGGTGAGTAATATTATCATCATACATTCTCACCAGGTCCCTGGGCTGTGTCCCGATTGCGTAGAATGCAATATTAGTCTGCTCTATCACCGGATGCCTTTGTCATCACGACCTTTAAACTCCAAAACCATCAAACTTATAACTTTGCTTGATGATTCACATATAGTAGAAGCTATATATATGCACTTATGTTGGAACATAAGCACCTGAAACAAAATCATCAACCAAGAGCAAAAAAAGCAAAACGAAACAAAAGAAAAAGAAGAGGCTGACCAATTTCTAAATCTTCGCAAAAACCAACTAATATTTAGCCCCAAAAAAGATATGCAAAGCCTCCAAAAACAGTGAACAAGTCAGCACCAAGTGGTGCATAAATCATTCCTAAAATAGTGTGCATAAGCGGCTCAAAACAGTAAAATATAGCCAAAAGCAACTTTTAAACCTTCCCTTGATTCAACTTATATAGCTTCTCCATAAATCCAAACATTTTTACAATTGGTGGTTCGGCTTACGAGGCTGAGTGGCAACCGAAAGAGGGGAGGGGGGAGGGAGCAAATCCACCACAATAAAGAAGATTTAATGGCTCATGGGTAAGGGGCAGCAGCAGGAGACCCCCCCAATGAGAAACATCACAAAAATACTAACAGGAAGCGCATTTCAACAGACCCGACTACGGGCAGCGTGGAGGAAACCCCAACAAGAACAAATATAGCAGTCACGACTAGGAGCAGCAAAAACAGGCCTCCAAGTAATTCCTAAAACCCTAAAAATTATAGCCGAACAGGCCACCGAGAACTCCCAAAACCGCAGCAAGGTAAGCCACCAAAGACTCCCAAAACCGCAGCAAGGCAGGCCTCTTAAAACATTCCAGAATATTCCGAAAACGAAGCCAAACAGGCCACCCAGTATTGCCAAAACCACAGCTATATAGGTATCATAGAAGTGCCAAAGCCATAGCTCACACTAGCCACGCACCAGTTCGAAAATTACAGCCAATAAGTAGCAAA